AAGGGATAAAGATTAAGCCAATTCCCTTTACTCCCCCTCAAGTTGGAGCGTGAAGATCACGAACGCCCAATTTGCCGAATAGATAACGAAATTGCTTGGCACCAAGTGGTTTAGTAAAAACATCAGCAACCTGCTCAGTGGTGCTGATGGAGCATGTCTTAATTTCTTGAGAGTCAATACGTTCACATACAAAATAACAATCCATTTCGACGTGTTTTGTACGTTCATGGTAGACAGGATTGTTGGCAATGTGGCGAGCAGCTTGATTGTCACAATAAAGAGAAGTGGGACCGGTTTGAGATACACCTAGTTCTTGCAACAACCATCGCAACCATAAGATTTCACTAACACAAGAGGCCATAGCACGGTATTCAGATTCAGCGGATGACCGGGAGACGACAGACTATTTCTTTGTTTTCCAGGAAATAGGTGCATCACCAAGAGTGATAAAGTACCCGGTTTTGGAGCGCCGAGTCAAGGAACACCCAAGCCAATCAGAATCACAAAAGGCTTTGAGTGTCAAGTCACCAGTAGAGGACAGAAAAATACCTTGACCTAGTGTGGCCTTGAGGTAACGAAGGATTCTGATGGCTGCATCAAAGTGTAGTTGACGAGGAGATGAAACAAACTGACTCAGGGTGTTCACAGCAAGAGTAATATCTGGGCGAGTAACTTGTAAGTATAGGAGTCTCCCTATAAGCCGCCGAAATTGGCTTGCATCTGCAAGAGGTGTGTCATCTGCTTTGTCAATATGTAGATTTTGTTCCATTGGAAATGCGCTAGGCCTACATCCTTAAAGACCACAATCCGCTAAAATGTCCAACGTATACTTTCGTTGGCTAAGAACCAACCCATCTGGAGTTCTGGTTGCCTCAACTCCAAGGAAAAACTTTAACGAACCCAAGTCCTTTATGCTAAAACGTTTGTGTAGATATGCCTTTATTTTGTTAATACGATCAATGTCATTGCCGAGAAGAATAACATCATCGACATATATAAGAGCAGCCACGTAAGTAGTTTGTGTTTGGAAGATGAAAAGAGAATGATCAGCTTTGGAGTGTCGGAAGCCAACGCTTAACAACGCATCCGTGAACTTTTTATACCAATTACGAGAGGCTTATCGTAATCCGTACAAAGATTTTTGCAGTCTGCAGACTCGCTTATCACCAACCTTAGCAAAACCTTGTGGAATTTTCATGTATACCTCTTCGTCTAAATCACCGTGTAGAAAAGAATTGTTGACGTCTAATTGATGGATTATCCATTTTCGATGAACAGCAACAGCCAATATCGTTCTAACAGTCACAAGCTTAGCAACGGGTGCAAATGTCTCATGAAAATCCACCCCTTCGATCTGGGTGAAACCTTTAGCCACCAATCGCGCTTTATAACGTTCAATTTCTCCATTGGGCTTGTATTTTATTTTATAAACCCATTTTGAGTCAATGGCTTTCTTTCCAGGCGAAAGATCCGTCAAGATCCAAGTATTGTTGGTTTTAAGTGCTTGGATTTTGTTTTTCATGGCTTCTCGCCACTTGATGTCTTTGACAGCATGAGAGAAGTGTTTGGGCTCATCGTGCGTTGAGATGGCAGTTAAAAAAGCTTTGTGTGTGTTAGAGAAATTTTTATATGATATAAAATGAGATAAGGGATGTACCGTTGAGGATGCTGAATTGACGCCGGGAAGAGAATGATCTAAGGAAGGTGGCAATTGCACTTCATAATCTCCAAATCGTTGAGGAAGATTTCGAACACGTTCCGGTCTATTTTGTTGCGTTGGAACGGTAGTAGAATGAGAATCTTGTAGTGAGATTCTCTCAGTAGGAGTTTGACCAAGGTCATCTTCTTGGTTTTCTGTTTCTGTGGGTGACGCATAATCAATACTAGGCTCCGGTGGTTCACTACTTATTTTTGGATTAGGCGGTTGATCGTAATCAGTTGGTGTTAGCCAAGGATCGGGGCTGGAAGAAACATTATTGGTTTCCAGATGCGCGTCATGAAACGGGTATTGGCACTCTACAAATTTCACATCTCTTGAAACACAGATTTTCTTTTCTTTTAAATCATAGACACGATAACCTTTTTGCCTTGGTGGATAGCCAAGAAAAACGCAAGGCCTCCCCCGTTCTTCAAATTTATCCTTTGACGCTTTGTTCTCTTTTATATAAACCAAGCACCCGAAGACTCTCATATGATCATACGTTGGTTTTCGATCAAATAAGAGTTCATAGGGTGTCTTGTTCTTCAGAACTTTGGATGGCAATCTGTTTATGATGTAGGTGGTTGTTAACACGCATTCTCCCCAAAACTTTATTGGTAGGTTTGCTTCAAACCGTAAGGCTCGTGCTACTTCCAACAAATGTCTATGCTTTCTCTCAACTACCCCATTTTGTTGAGGCGTGTGTATGCAAGATGTTTCATGAATGATTCCATTGTCTTCATAGAATTGTACCATTTGATTTGAGACAAACTCCCATCCATTGTCACTACGAATTTTCTTGACTTGCTTCCCAAATTGAGTTTTTTGTCATTTTACAAAAAAACTATCAAGCTATTGCTAGCATCAAATTTGTTTTTGATCAAATATACCCATGTGCATCTACTAAAATCATCAACGATTGTCAAAAAATAATGAGCACCGGAAGTAGAGGGTACACGATAACCTCCCCAAATATCACAATGTATAAGATCAAAACAAGCAGTAGTTTTTATAGAACTATCTAAAAAAGGAAGTCGAGTTTGCTTCGCCTTTACACAAGAATCACAATGTTCGACATTAACTACTTTTCCTATGGAACTAATGTGTTGAAGTTTATTGTTGGATGCATGCCCTAACCTTCTGTGCCAAATATCTGAATCAAACTTTGCCGTCATTGCTGCAATTCTTTTGTCCGTTCCTTCCAGTTGATATAGACCATTCTCACATCTCCCCGTGCCAATCAGCTTCCTCGAGTGTAAGTCCTGTATGAGACAGAAATCAGGAAAAAACGTCACAAAGCAATTGAAACTTTTCGTGATTTTGCTTACAGAAAGAAGATTGCATCTAAAGTCTGGAATATATAAAACACGATCAATTTTTGTGTCATTAGGAAGACATGCAGTCCCAATTCCTTGAAGTGGAACATCATCACCGTTTGGTATGCTAACATGAACTCCTTGGTTGGACCTTTTAATACTTGAGAGAGCGGATTTGTTGCATGCAATATTTTCGGTGGCACCTGAGTCAATGATCCAAGGGGTATTAAAATTAAACTTACCAGCCATGTTGGCTTCCGGTTTCATTGTGGATTCGCTCAGTTGCTTAATTAATTTTGAGTATTGTTCAAAATTAAGTCCAGGTATCGGGCTAGACTCAACTTTGACATTGGCTGCCTTTGGTTTTGGTTTAACAGGTTTTCTTTGGTCTCCTGTTTGCTTTCGGTTGCGAGAGTCCCACCATTCTGGGTAACCAATCCTTTCGAAACACCCATCTATGGTATGTCCATTCTTTCCACAGTGTTTACATTTGAGGCCTTCACGAGTGTTGAGTTGTCTTTCTGAATTCGTTTTGTCAGGTGCTTGGTTACGTACCTGATAGGCTGCAGCTTCGGTGATGTTCCTTCTTGAAGCGGATATGCTTCGTTGTTGCTCGTCTTCTGCTACAAGGTGGTATATGGTTCCAAGACTCGGCATTGGTTTGGTGCTCAAGATTTGGGTTTTAATGGTTCCAAATACTTCGTCGAGTCCCATAAGAAATTCATAGACACACTCTCTTTCTCTTGACTCAACGAGTCGTTTTCCAAGATCACATGTGCACTTACCACAAGTGCATCTTGGAATCGGTGAAACCGTATGGATCTCATCCCAAATGGCTCTCAATTTAGTGAAATAAGTCGATACGGTAGCATTATCTTGTCTCAGCATCGTTAGTGCCCGTTTTAGTTCATACGCGCGAGGCGCACTTTCTTTTCCAAACCGCTCTTCAAGATCTTCCCAAACTTCTTGGGATGTGTTAGCATATTTAACAATGTTTCGTATCTCCTTCTCCATCGCTGCTGTCATCCACCCCCGTATTAGAGCATCACAACGTTCCCAAGCTCGTAGTTCCAGGCCGTCTTCTGCTGGTTTGATCAAGGTTCCATCAATGAAGCCCGATTTATTCTTTGACAAGAGAAAATCCTTCATCTCTCTTGCCCAGTCGACATAGTTGTTGTCACTGAGAACTTCATTGACATGAATTTGTCGAGGGTAGTCGGTAGGATGGATGTAGAAGGGTGAAGCAGGATCCGATGATGGGTTTTTGGTGGAAGAGCTGCTGCTGGGTGTTTCTCCTCCTGTCATGGTCGTTTAGCAGGTAAGGTATCCCTACTCTGATACCATATAAAAAAACTGAATATGCAGTTTAAAATATTATTCTCATCTTATTTTTCAAGAAAACTCATAGGGACTATATATACAGTACGTGAATGAGGAGTGAAACAATTGAAAAGCTAAATATCCTCACTAAAATAGGAAACTAAGAGATATACATGAAGAATCGGAAGGGATAAAGATAAAGTCAATTCCCTTTAGATCATGGTTTACATAAATAGAAGACGTTCATGAAATTTTAATTAAGGCGCTGTCTAAGAATGTGTCTAGTTTTCATCAAAGTCATTTCTGTGATATCCTTTAAATCTTATATCATTACACTTGACTAAGCATACATCCCAATCCACATACATCATTTTCCAACTCAATAAGTTACATGTTTAAAACTGTTTAGATAATATTAATGATAGGAATTTAACGTTCAATTACCAATTATGCTCTTCATTCTCCTTCTAAAGGCACATTACTAAGATGGTGTCTAAATTCCCATTTCAACATTCTAATGTGCAAACTGTCATAATCTAGCACAATTACATAAGGTTGATCCCTTCATTCCATCACATTCACAAGGTTCGACCCTTATCCATTGGTTCGTATAATGAATTTCCATGATGAATATTTAAAATAGAAAGATGTTTATATCACATAATCTTGCATAAACTACCATTATACTTTTGTGTGCTTTGCCCCAATTTTTTAATAAAAGTTGTAAGGCATACATAAAAGTAGATATCTACAATACAGATAAATCATATATAATCATTCTGCACCATATAATACACATTCTTTGTGTTAATTTATTTCTCTGACCTAATCATTCTACTCTCTACTGACACAAGTCACCACACGAATCACATACTTCACAACAACAATTCAAGCACTCAAAACACGCAAGCGCCGTACATAACTGCGTCAGAGCAATCGCACATTGATCGTTCATTCGAGAACAACACCGTAACACACTCACACAACAACATCGATCAAGAACGACGTCGTAGCAAGAAGAAGCCGCCTGCATCATCATTCCCGCTGGCTCACTCAGCTTCACCTCTTCTGTTCCCGGCGCCAAATTATCAACACTCGCCATCACATTACCAAATCCAACGCTTAAATTGCTTAGATACATAACCTTATGATTCTCCAACTTCGAATACTCCTATTGTTAAAAATCGGTAATTAATTTTGTTAAAATATATATATATATATATATATATATATATATATATATATATATATATGGAACAAAAAAGTAATTATATGTTAATTAAAAGGTGTAGTGTACCTCTTCAGGTAGAACTGAATCCATAGCTGGCTTTACTTTGTCGCCTTGAATTAGAATCATGTGAGTGTATTCGGAAGGAACTCCGATTTGTAGGCTCATTTTAGCAACTTTCTCCTCAAGTTGTTTATTTTGATCTAACCATGCGTGAGCTGTCAGCGTATCAATCTCCCTTCTCGCACAAACCTAATACACAAGACAGGTTTTTTTTTATACATTCAAAAGACATAAATGCCCTCGGAACTAGGTGTGAAAATTAAGATTATCTTTACCCTGTCTAAAGTAATGCCCTTTGCTTTTCTCACTTTGACATCAATCTTGTAAGAACTCATATCGGCTGTGAAGCCTCTAGCTTTGACAATGTCAGGAAAGGTCCCCTGGTATCGACCCGATAGAATTAATGGATTTCCATAAAAGTCCGGAACACGAAAAGGGTAAAACTGTAATAAACAGAACAATTAAGGGTCAATTTTAAATAAAAATGAATTGAATACAAAAAGTGTGTAAGCGAATGTACCTCATGTGACTCAAGAGTTTCTAGGCCATCAATGGTTACATTTGCAAGTACATGAGATGAGGCGTTGTTTAACAGTTTTGGTAATCGATCACTGATTGAATCTGGTCAAATTAAGAAAGGGAAAATTACAAATATACCCTCATAGGATATAATTATAAATATTTGTAGTTGATGAGAGTATGAAACTGACCTACATCATATGCAGCATCATAGCATCCTCTTCCCATATGTGCAAGCATTTGCAAAAAATAGTGATTGCAGTATGAACCTGAATTCATTAACATGTACAAATTACAAATATACCCATATAGGGTATTATAATTAAAGAGAAGTCATACATATTACATACCTATGCCAAATGTGAAAATTCTAGGAGAATTAATCCCTCCATCCATAAGGTGATCCTTCATTAGATTACAAATATCTTTTTCATCTTCAACAGATCCATCAGTAATGAGAAAAATGAGAGGAATTGATTCACCCGATTTACCAACCATATCAAATGCCTTGATGACATCATCAAAAAAAAAAAAATTAATGATTTAGTTTTAATGTGGAATAGGAAAATTGTGTAAGTAAGTAAGTAAGTACGTGTTTTAGAGGAAGTAGGAGGTTTGTGGATCCTTCAGCAATGAGATTATTGTGCATCCATTCAATGGCATTTGTGATTCCTTCATCAGTTGCTGATTCCAATGAAGATGAGAATGATTTGATGTTTCCATTGAAGGCTATGATGTTAAAGGAATCTTCTTGATTAAGCTCTGAGAGGGAATTTATCAATGCATTTTTTGAATTCTCAAGAGGGTCATCTTGCATGCTTCCACTTATGTCTATTAGAAACACCACTTCCTTTTTTAAAAGGCTATTATCACACAAATGAAGAACACTGTTAAAAACTTAAAATTGGAAATTACAATTGAAGAATTAAAGATTCTTGAAGTGTCCAAGTAGTTTACAAACCTTTGAAATTTTGTTACTTCCAGGGAAAAGATAGAAGCAGAACATATTTCTTTGATCATAATCATGAAGAGATGGAGTATGCAGTAGCAATCCAGCTAAAATATCATCTGAAGACAACTGAAAAGTAAAAAAGAGGATCAAAAATCAAAAAATGTTTTTGTATGCCCTTTTATACAGAATAATTAAGATGTGAGATCTTACAGAGTAAGAAAAGAAGAAGTTTTCAGTTGACCATCTTTTAACATCTGCCTCATATGAGAAGCTTAATTCACCAGACTTTCGTTTTGTTTCCTTTCAAAAAAAGAGAGAAAGATATTGGATTAGTAGAGAGGAAATAAAAATTTATTAGTAAACTATAATTTAATAAAAAAGTATACCTTTAAAGGATGACTAGAATAATTGCAGATGATTTCTGTATCTGTACCAGAGTTGACATTTAGCATGATTTTTTCCTTATTAGAAGTTTCCTTCACCACTGGAAGAACATGATCAGGAAAAGTGAAAGGCACACTGAGACAGAACTCATGATGTTGATATAACAATTTCTGAGACCATTTTATAGTGACATGGATTTTTGATCCTCCATCAACCTTTAAATGTTGAGCATCATAGAGTAAGTAAATCGGTGTAAAAACTTAAAAATGGTGATTCATGGTGCAGAGTTTATTAGGAAACCTGTGGAATTTTGAACATGTAAGTGTTGCCTTTCATTAGAGAGCTGTTATTTGTCTTTGTTACTTTTTCTACATCTTTTTCATTTTGAGGAGTTATGAATTGGGAAGAATATGATCTTCTTGTGCTCTCCACCTCAATACCTAGAACTGAACCCTGTTAGCCAAACCATGTTCTTTTCAGAAGTTAAATTGGGAAGTTTGATGGAAAACATTTGATAAATAACAAATAATAGAGAACGTTATAAGGATCTAAGCATCATATCCTTGCAATTCAGTTGTGAATATTAATAAATCTGTGTTGGCATACATTCTTCGGATCCCCAATCCATTAACTAGAAAAGGTAAAAGTGAAATTAAATAAACATGAACATGAACATGCTCCTTCAAAGTTAAATTCTCATTCTTCCCTTTTATGTCCACACAAATCGAATAAAAATGCCTAAAAAAGACGCTATAAATAGTAATTGTGTAATGGAAGTAATAAATAATGTGAACAGTTGAAGTATTTCATTTCTGGAAACATCACAAGGATGTAAATCGAAAAAAAAAAGGAGCGAAATAAGAGAATTAGTTTATCTCGCATTGCTTTAGTTACGACGTGATTTGTATTCCTTGCGTCAATTTTGGATTATCCGGTATTAATTTGTCTCTTCCTATTCAATAGTTGTTCGATTTTACATCCTTTGATGATTTACTTATGAAGTTATGAGATGGAATTGGAAACGAATAAGGGGATTCACGAACAGATAGCAATTTATTTACATTGATTACCTGGTCGCCCATAGGAATCGCGATTCTGCAATCGCAACATGACTTTGAAGTTACGCAATGAACGCGCCAAGTTCCGGTAACTGTAACAAACGCAGTGTCCAAATAACAGTCAACTTCCATCGTAATTCCATGCATATGTAGCGGAACCAGCGCCGGCGGATCACAATGCCCATAAACATACGGCTGGTAGCTACAAATATCCGGATTATCAACAACAGAAGGATCAGATATCACCGTGTAAACCATCGGCGCTGTGGGACGGTGATTCTCCGGCAACCGCAACGACGAGGACGACGAACATGACGACAACGACTTCTTCATGGACGGCGCCTTCGGAACAGTCATGGAAGCTTTATCTTTTCCGTAACTAATCCGTTTGGATAGCTGTAGTCCCGCTTGAACTGATCTAGAAAACTCATCGATGGCCATCGGAGGAAAATGTCGGTAATAATTGGTAGTCGGAGTGTGTGTGTGGATGTGTATGTGTGTGAAACTGCGAGTGAGAGTGGGAGTGAGAGTGAGAGTGAGAGTGTTAGTGTGAGAGAGAATATAGAAATAGCTGGTGTGACACTTCGCTATATTGGAGGTCATGTTCAAAAGGAACTCTACTTTTGGACTCATGTAATTGGAGACGAATTGACACGCTAATTAAGCATGTTTAATTGCCAATTCCACCTTATCAATTATTGCTAATGCTACCCTTTTATTATTATATGAACTATATATGTTAATAAAATATTTTTTTATAATCATAAGTAGATAGTTATACTTACAAATATAGAGAAAAAAAATTATAAATCAAAATCGAGAAACAATAAGATTAGTTGGTGTTTGGACTTCTCCAAAACCTGTTTGGATTATTAAATTTTTTCCCACTTGTTTTTTAATACTTAGTCTTAAAGTTGTAACTAACATGAATGTGACTTGTACTTGTTTATTTTTTTTGAATGGTCGAATCATATTAAAATAACAATGAGCTAACAAAATATTCATAGAGGTGGTCAATGTCTACTTTTATAATCGTTTGATATAATTGACTTTCAGTTTGGACCTTTTATTAAAAATCCCAAAAACCACATAAACATAATATTATCAACAATCGAATCTTTTTAAGTTTTTTGTAACTTGAAAATAAGGAATTCTAAAAGTTTCAAATATTTGGCATCTTTTTTTAAACAACAAGGAATATTATAAAAAAGCAAGAAGCTAGCAAAAAGATATTACACATACATAAAAACTAGAGTAGGATTTTTCAACCAGTCTATCAATTTCATAGAAATCCTAATACGTCTATTAGAAATCCAAAAAAATTATTTCTCAATAATCTCATCAAACAAAGAATCTTATCTTTGCTTCACCTTCCCGAAGATAAGAGAATTACGAAAAGTCCACAACGTCTAACAAGAAGTAATCACCATATCTTGAAACATTTTTCTCTGTGAAACAGAAAATGACTACTATCACCCCACATGATCAAAGAATCAACTGATAAAGTCGAAGGAACCTTCACCCCCCCCCCTCCCTCCCTCCCTCCTTAATCTAGTGACCCGAGACCAAAGCCCTTCAACTGAAGGACAACTACAAAAAAATATGGGAGATAGACTCGACCCCCTCCAAACATGACGAGCATAAAACGGAATCCAAATATGTGCATCTATGTGCCAATCTCTCTCTCTCTCTCTCTTTCTCTCTCTCTCTCTCAATCGAATACACTGCAATCTTATTCTCCACATCAAAATATTACATTTGATAGGAATAAAAGAATTTCACCTCGTAATCGTCAAAATGCTCCACATTATTGTTAAAATCACCACATCCAACACATTGTCTGTGAAATCCCCATTTTCATGGCCAGAAAAGAACGATTTTATTTATGCTTTATAAAAATCAGAGTATCTCTTTTAATAAAAATGTTGCGGAATTTGTTCCCAGAAAAAAAACATGGTAAATACGTTATCAAAGCATTTCCGAATAAACGTATTTTTTATTCATTTTAAAACATTTGGGATGTCATCGTCAATACAGAAACATAAGCATAAACAGTACTTACAATCATTTACACTAGTGATCTACATCTCTTTAATCTCTCAGTGAAATGTAACTTCATATCGACACCTGTGATACAAATAAGTTTGAGTGGGTCAGGTTGGGAAACCTGGTGAGTACATAGGATTTTCAACCCACAATAATATAATTATTATGTTTAATCATCAAACAGTTAACCCAATTACCCATCCCCATTATCTTCCTTACTCTTAAGGGTCTACCCTAAGAATTAGCTATCCCTTATTCATTCATTCCTAAGGATCATCCTAAGGATCATCCTAAGGATCATCCTAAGGAATCGGCACGAAATCCATCGTTGCCAGAGTTTACTCAACAGGCACTACATCGCATAGTCGCCAGGGCTTAGGCACTAAGTCTCATAGTCGCCAGGGTTTATACAACAGGCACTAAGTCGCATAGTCGCCAGGGTTTAGGCACTAAGTCTCATAGTCGTCAGGGTTTATACAACAGGCACTAAGTCGCATAGTCGCCAGGGTTTAGGCACTAAGTCTCATAGTCGCCAAGGTTTATCTCGTTTATCAACAGTATCGTTTTCGAGAATCCACTCGCAATACATGTCAATGGGTTTTTAGAGTACAGCTGGTGAATACACAGCTCAAATAAACACCTACAGGTTGCGAGCCTGCTAGTGTTCCACTGGACTGTCTAGAATAGTTTGTGGTTGTCATCCATACTCTACTAGATGACGGGGCCAACAATTGGGTAAAGGGCTTCTCACATGGTTCACCTCTCACCCTTATTTCATGGTCTATATCATCTCTCATCATTTTATTTTTGTCACACAGCAACTATTTCATCTACCCATGTTTTACCCAACACATTTTGTAGATATAAAATACATATACAGTTTAAATCATTTAAAACATGTATAAAAAATCTTTCACCCAACATAGACAGCAAGCATTCATGCAATATACACACATAGCACGTAATTTATATTAAAATACTTCATATATATGTGTAAGATGAAAGTAACTATGCACTCACCTGATAAGGTGGTGACTCGGTACTTGGACAGCGATTCGTTAATCTTAAAACTATTTCCCTCGGACAAAACCTAGTATCATTACGACTAGAGTTTAGTCTAATATTAACTGAGACTAATTATTACTATTATATAAGAGTTAACACATCTTCACCCACTATGTACAGACAGGGGCCAGACATGAAACACCGGAGGGCAGGATCATTTCGGCGTATAGCACTTTTGAATCCAGCAACCCAAGCGGCCCTCCAAACCAGATTCCCCGTACCGCGAGTGGTTAAAAAGATATTATAACGACACTTATATAACTCATAATAATAGCCTAAATACGCATTATAAGGTCTTAATAACATTACTATATTAAAGATAGGGTAGGCGTAGCTCACTTACAGCGGGTTTTTCGCAAAACCGGGCTTCGCTGGAGCAGCGTTCCCGAGCCGAAAGGCTCTTTTCTCAGGGCTCCGGGAGCCTCTGGGCTTCCTTCGGGTGCTAGGGGGTTTACCTAGACTTTAGGGGGCTTAAGGGAAGCTAGAGAGAGTCTAGAGAGAGAAAGTGAAGTTGGGAAGGTGTGAGAATGAATGGAACTCGGCACTCTTATTTATAGGATGAATTCCTGATGGACTCGCCGAGTTCGGTCACATACTCACCGAGTCAGTGCCACTTGTCAGCTTTCTGGTGGCCATACGTGTGTGGCCTGTATTGTGCCACGTCACCCCTGTTGCAGCAGCACCCTGCCGACTTCTAAACCCCGTAACTTTCGCATACAAGTTCCGTTTTTGACGTTCTTTACATCCACGCGTAGGTAAAAACAAGATCTACAACTTTCATTTTGACTCCGTCGGCTAATTCTCGACCGATCTTAAATGTAACAGTAGGAGGAGATTAGACTGTTAAATGACCGCGAAAAATTCATAACTCCTTCATACAGACTCCGTTTTCGTCTGTCTTTTTATCTTTGAGTTCCTATTAATGAGATCTTCAACTCTCATTTAGGTCGCGTAGGCCAAAAACAGCTCGAACTAAAATTCGAGTTTCGGGTCGTGCACTGTTATGTCAAATCTTAAAAAATTCATAACTTCCTCATACGAAGTCAGATTTGGGCGTTCTTTTTATGGACGTTCTCGGTTTAACATATTCTACGACTTTCGTTTAGATTACTAAGGCCAAAAAGTCCTCTATCGTAAATTCACTATTTTACGTTTCCCAGTGCCGTGCCGATTTTGCCGCGAAACTTCGACGAGTCATAACTTCTTCGTTATAACTCAGATTTCGGCGTTATTTATATGTACAGAACCCTTGTAACATATGCTACAACTTGGTTAAGATTACTCCTTCTAAATAATCTTTCATCAAAAACTCATTTTTGATGCTCATTGTCTTTAAACTGACTAGCCCGGATCTACGGGCGTTACAATTATCTCCCCCTTAGGATGATTACGTCCAGGAATCATCAACGAAACAGGGTTGTATAATGATTCCATACGTTCTCTCTTCATCCTAGGTAATAACTGTAACTTCTATGTTGCTTCGAACGAGTATCTAACTCTTGGACTCTTTGACTGTAGGCGGTACTCGATCTTGCACCTGCTCCCTATCTCACGTTAGACTCCAAATTATGACATTCGAGTCACAATCTCGATCCTTACTGGAGACTCCTTCTTCTTCTTAACAAACTTAAGATAAGTTCTTTTATTACTAGAATGGACCGATGTGTCATATTCTAATGACCTATCATCGTATGTTGCAACGCTTAGACTCAGGTCTCTAAGAGTCAAATTCCAGAACAGACTATACCTTCCTTCATGTTCTAATGTGATATAATCACATCTTAAAAGGTAGCATTTCTAGCTACAAGCAACTTATCGCGATACCTCTACTGATCGCTTTGATTATCTTTTATTTCAATCTTCCGGCTTAAGTCAGATGCTACATCGAACTTGGTTCTCTGAACCACGTAACATATTCATCGTAGCCGGACTCAATTTGATATGACCACTAGGGTCGGAATAACAATCATCTTCTTAATCATTACCGAAACAATGGTAATAAAACGAAATCAATTACTAGCTTCTTGGTAACCTTGTGACTTTCCCTGATCCAAGTGTGAGTCCTGTGCTTCCGGTAGTATAGGCCTCTACTACCATTCACACCTACTCATACTCGTCCCAAGTATTGTCTCGCAGTTTTCCAAGTCACCATACAAGAAGATCACATAACAACTTAACACACCAGATAAAAAAACGAAGGTATTATATTACTCCTTGAAATGATTACATAGGTGTTCAAGTTCACCCTAGACTATGCCTCTAATAGGCTACACCATACGACACTATCCATATGGTTGTTGAATAACTTGATGAAGTCCTCATCCTCGATTCCTCGTGTTTTTTTCTGCTTCGTCGAGGATCATGTGGAATGCCCTTGGCCTTGGTGGTGTGTTTGGCCTCGCTGCCTCGTTTTTCTTTGGGCAATCTCTACAAATATGCCCTTCTTTGTTACATCCATAGC